CACCCAGGGGAGCTGGTAATTGAACCAGAGTCCGAACCAGAACTTGATCAAGGACCAGCACCACCGACTGCTCCCTTAGATACACAGCAGCAAGCACCTCAAAGACCACCTTCGCAGCGTTCCGAGCAGGTATCTCGACCCCTCCGCCCACAACATTTTCTGCCACCGCTGCCAACTCCTCCCCCCTCTACCGGGCTGCCGCCGACACCCATCTCTAGGAATGTATCTGCAGGACTGCTTAGCCCCGTCAGTATGCCAGGTACGTGTATATACTTCCGCAATACGCAGACGGCACGATTGTCGCTGCCGCAACTGCACCCAATGGCTCGTTTGAGCATGGATCGATGATGGTATTGCACAAGTATCATGCTTACACGCACTGCAGACAGGAAGTCACAGCACTCTACGATTTCCCGCGCATCATCCTTTCAATCTAGCATCACTCAGTCCAACAATAGTGTCTTTTCAGGTGCTTCGGGCTATGAGACTGCCTTCTCAGAAGATGCTTACGATGAGCCTCGCTCTTCCAAAACTCCCTTCAGACCTCAGCCGGCCTCTCACGCACCTTATTTCGAGCTGGTCGAGCGCGGTTCGCGGACTGGTAGCAGACAGAGTAATGAACGTGATCAAAGCGTCAAAGCCTCTCAAACACCCTTTACCCGTGCGTTAGCTAAGATGGAGAGTGCCGGTACTCGCATCATGTCTGCACGATTGAGTGAGGAGTGGGATGGTTTGGACGACGATGAGAGTTTCCAGGAGATCATGTTCGAGAAGCGGTTGTGGGCACTGACCGCCTATCAACGCTTAACACAGAACAAACCCTTACAGTCACCTGCCCACGAGTTACTCAGTAACAGTCGCCCAGTGGACCAGAAGAGAGTTCTCCAAGTACATGGTTCTCTAGGTGCGTTCACCTTCTCGCTCCGTATAATCTCACAAGGCTTCAATGCTAATTGCTGCAGCGGATGGATGGATGCTTGCAAACAGGTACCCTTCGGTAACAGTTTATACGCTGTCTTCCATAAAAGCGCATCCAGCTTCGACATATCCTGCTCCCTTGAATCATCATTCACTATATACCCCTTCACTTGCGTCTCCAGCGCCCTTCCCCGATGACTATTTCGATGCCGTTATCTCGCGTTCGGCAGCGACTGTTCTTCGAAACGACGATTGGGCTCGATCGTTCTTTGACTGCATGCGTGTGCTCAAGCCAGGAGGACAACTCGAGATGCTCTCAGTGGATGCGCACATGAGCTGCGAGGGACCCAAGCTATCGTCATGGGTTGATGAACATCTCTCTTGCAGATTAGAGGCCCATGGTGTGAGCAAACAGGCTTCAGACACTGTTCTTGATACGATGGAGATAGTGGGGCTCGAGAACATTCGTCGTGCTCGTATCGCGCTGCCAGCACAGCCGCCCAAAGCAGTAGCAAAGGGGGCACCATCTGCTTCACATACTTTTGGCGCTACCATTCCACCTCCTACGCCACAAGACACTTTAGACACTACGAAGATGATGGCTTTCCTCGGCCGCCATTTCTATCAAGACCTATACAGCAGGTTCATGAATATGGAGCAGGGAGACGAGTGGTTCTGGTCACATAAGGATATTCGGGATGAGATCGATCGATATAAGACAAAGATTGTACTTACCATTTCTATTGCGCATAAACCCGACAACATGTGTAATAGGGAAAGTTATTTGGATGATTAGACAATCTACTGAATCAAGGCACGGTTATGTTGTATCGAACATAGTATCCGCTTTTAGTACGTGAGAAGGCACTTAGGAAGGCTGAGAGTGTTGTGGGACCTTAGTCCTCACTCAGCGACGCTATCCGTCGTGGGTCTTTACTTATAACGTTCCAAGGCTCAGATCCACGAGTGACTATCAAGTGAACTTGATGAATACTAGTTGGAGAATAGCGCAGAAGAAGCGAGCTAAGACCATAACATATCAGCTTGCACCTGCTATGGTTCCGCTTTCAGGACTCACTTTTTCCAGAGCACGAACACACTCACCTCTACAGCCTATATTGATCCTTCCTCCACCTACTCATACCAGCGATAAATATCAACTGAGCCTAACCTCCTAGCAATCCCTCCCATTACACACCTCTCAACCGTCACGAACATCAATTTATACCTTACAATGGCTGCTTCCCAAATCGGTCACGGCCAGATCGGCAAGATTATCGAGGGTATGTGGAAACGGTCCACGAAGTGCGGATGACATATATACTGACATCGTATAGACATGGAAGAACTTCTACCTTCGCAATCCATTGACAGGGCAGACTATCGAGCATGTCGCACGACCTACGGCCTTCTATCCACGACCTACAAGCGCGCAAACGACTCCAATACACCAGAGAAGGATTACAAGGAGTTACAGACGCTTGAAAAGTCTCTTCGTCACCGTCTCTCCAGCCTCGATGCTAAAAGAGGTCTTCCACACAAATTCCAGGGTCCGCTCGACGATCTCAAAGCAGGAGTTGATGGAGCACTCGAGAAGGGCGCATCGATCGATTTCCTAATTCAAGGTCTAAAGGATGCATTGAATGAGAAGCCAGGTACTACACCTGCGCCAAAGCCTGAGCCACCGAAAATGGTATCCGAGAAGCGCTTCAAGACGGTGTTGGAAGAACTTTGTAGAGAGAAGGAAAAGAACCGAAAGCTCAACGAAGAGAACAACCGTATGATCCTGGAACTCAAACAGTACAAGATGAGTGAGCAAACGAGTGCCAGTGAGCCCCCCCTCAAGAAACGACGCGTCGATTAAATTGCTGACGAATTAGCCCAAGCTGGTAGACGACCTGGCGCAGGCTTCTTTTAAGGCGCCAAAGAAACTGACTGTTTTGCGTATCTTGCCGTCAACTCTATGGACTACGCCAGCTATTGTATTGCACACGAAATGCGAACTCAAGTCGGAAGAAACTGTTGCTGGGAAGAAAGGTAAGAGAAAAGGAAAGAAGTTAAATTTTTGGACCCCGAAGGCCCTGATTGATTTACCACTGAGTACAAGGGTATCGGACTCGAGCAGTAGTGCCGGTTTTAGCAAAGCGAACGTAAATGGAAAGATCATAGATCCGGAGCCCAGCAATGCACCAATCGGAAAGTATGATCTGGGAGTGTGTAGCTTGGGATATATGTTTTTTGCCTGTGAGCATTCTAACAAGGACTTTGTGACTGTCTCAGATAGTCTGATATATAACAACTTGAGCGTCATTTATTCCAATGGGATCCTTCAGACAACACAGAATTCAGACACAGTGGGGGTTTAAGATAGTATTATCTAGGAAATGCATCAGTCATTAAGATGCGAGAAGGCTCACATGACAAGCAAAAGAATCACAAGCACTGGACGCACGTTGAAAGAAGGGGTATATAAACATTCAGGATCACCTTGTCTAGAAGGCGAACATTACATATCGATCTACGATGAATAACATCATCGATTGATAACCAGTTCAAAAGCACTTGGAAAGTGCAAGGACCATGTTCTAAATACATGCAGACATGTTTAGAAGATGCGGTTGAAGAAACGCTTCCACGCGGGCCAGGTGGCGATCTCGGCACGCTCCGCGTTGATGAGGTCCCAGTCGAGTTCACGACGGCCAGTGTCAACGTCCATCTGAGCAGTGCGGAGCCATCCCTCACGCTTCCAGAAGTATCCGGCAACCCAGAAGGCAGCAACGACGAAGACAGCGAGGTAAGCTGAGAAGAAGTCGGTAGCAGTACCAAGTCTCTTGCCAATGGGAGAAACTGCAGTGTAGAACTAATGTCAATGTTAGCACGATGCACAAGATAAGCGATTGAGGGAAAATCTTACCTGAGCGATCAGGACAATCATGATAATGAAGAGACCGATCCAGGAGCCAATGACACCACCAGCAGCCTTGAATGGGATCTCATCCAGGGTGTGTCCGTGGTAAGCCCAAGCCTTGCGGAAGCGAATGTGGGCCAAGCAGATGGAGCCCCAGGTGAAGAGAGCAGCAAGACCAGACAGAGCGACGAACCAGTTGAAGACGGTCTCACCGGTAGAGGCCAAGTTCATGTAGGCAAGAGGACCCCACATAAGAATGAAAGCAACGGAGTACAGAGGGCGTCCAGCACGGTCGACGTAGGTGAAGCACTTGGGAGCGTAACCCTGGTCTGCGAGGGCAGTAAGGGTACGGGAACCACCGTACACACCAGAGACACCGATGGAGATGACGGAGATGAGAATTACAACGTTCATGAAACTGTCGAATCCAACCAATCCAGCGTTCCTGCCAGCAATGACGAAGGGTGAGGTGTTGGCATCGGAAGAGGAGCCGATCAGACGTGGATCCTTGTGCTGAACTAGGAGTCCGACGAAGGTGAGACCGAGAATGTAGAACAAAGTGATTCGCCAAAAGACCTGGCGGATAGCACCAGGAAGGGACTTCAGAGGATTCTTGGTCTCAGCGGCAGCGAGACCAACAAGTTCGGTACCTGAGAAGGAGAAAGCGGCGGTGACGAAGACAGAGCAGAAGCCCTTGAAGCCGTTGTTAAAAGCGCCAGGATCGTACCAGGTACGGGCTCCCCAGTATTCAGAATACATGCCGTTGCTGGGACCTCCTCCGAGAACCAAGACCAAGGCGATGATCATGAAGACGATGGTGGCGCCGAGCTTGATACAAGACGACCAGAACTCTTCTTCCGCATATCCTAGGGTACCCCAGACGTTGATTAAGCAGATGAAGACCCAGAAGACCGTGATGAAGACAGCGACGTTTACGGTTTTGGCGCCCTCCCAATAATGAATCGTTAGACCAGCGACGAGAAGTTCGAGAGGTAAGACGATAGCCCATTGGAAGACGTAGTTCCAGCCCATGGCGAAACCCCAGGAAGGATCAATGAAGCGAGTAGAGTAGGTGTAGAAACCACCAGAGACGGGGTACATAACAGCGAGTTCACCAAGAGCGTAGACTACAAACGAAGTTAGTTATGTCAGGATACGCATAGATGCGTGGCGTCTACATACCGACGTTGAAGATCATTATACCCATAATTGAGAAATCAATCAGGACGGAGGCAGGACCCTGTAGAAGCTGTGAGTCGATAATCGAAAGCATTTGAGCGATATGCAACTTACACCTTTGGCCAAGGCACCACCGGAACCGACGAAGAAACCAGCACCGATGGAACCACCGATGGCGATCATGTGAAGATGGCGCGTCTTCATGGACTTGTCGAGGACGACCATGGGGCCGTCTTGGGGACGACGCTGGAAAGACTTCATGTTCAGACCGTTACGGGTCATGAAGTCCTCCTGGTCACGCCAATCAGCGACATCTTCGCTCTGGCTTTCGACGGTCGGGTGCGGGACGCTGGTCTTCTCATCAGGCGGGAGAACCTTCTCGTGGTCCATGATGGGCGGTTGGACAAGTCAGTGCTGGGAATGGGGAAAGACTGGTGAAGACGAGAGAAACCCTGGGAGCGGCTGCTCTTATGGAAGATGTAGATCAGCGGGAGGGGGAGGCAATTGACATTTACCCAGTCCACGTTGGAGATGGACTCACGGAACAAGCGACAGGGACCCCCGTCCATTGATGCACGAGGCGCACGAGCCGACAGCTTGGCATCCCTCCATTACAGTGAAGGGCCAAGCTCACAACTGATAGGATGGCGCCGTATTTGGTTGGCTGGCCGCACAGGACCAGAACAAGCGTTCACCGCAAGCAGGTAGTGCTAGCAGGGACGGTGAATTGGCGCCCCGCGGCGGCTCTTGGGATTAGCTTGGGACCTCCCCGCAACAGCAAATCGGCCGGTGGCGTATAGGGCTTGGTGCGAGCTTCGAGGGAGCCCTTGGTAACGTTTGGTCAGACCCGGTCGTTGGGCGGAGATTGGACCCAAAGAGGACTGATAACAAGTGCACGAGTTCCAGGCCTACGAGTAAAGACGAGGAACGAGTTTAGCAACATTCTAGCACACTTTCTAGAACGCTGATTGCAGTGCTGGGCTGCCTTGGCTGCTGCGGTTTTCTTCGGAACCAGCGCCGCTTTCCTTGCCAGCTGCCTCTATTGGCGAATCGAGGATGGTGCAGAGCAACCGTCTTATCTGCAGTCGGATGGCCGCGCCTACTTGGTGTAGTCTGGAGAAGCTCCTCACGTGCCCCGCCTCCATGTGCACCTGCCTGGCCAGGTCTAGCGCGCTCGCTTCCGTCATCTCCGCGTCGGTTAGCCCGAGACGCGATGCCTCTCCAACAATACTGTTTGTCAACCACTCCATCGGTGGCGCTGCGAGGCGCTGCAGTCCTGCCATTGCGAATACCGCGAATAGGCATGGCCAAGCGCTCGTGATTACGGCGTGTGCTGTCTTGTCGGGCGTAATGAGTACGGCAGCATTGTGTTACATTGCCCCATCTAACTTCGCATCCTGGCACGACAATCCCTCGCTCGTTTCAGTTGCCTCGATATCTGGACCCTTTTGCGCTCCACCATCCCGTTCGAGAACAACGTTATCAACGCGTGGGGGAGGATACTACCGAATCCTTTGCTTAAGAGGTGCGACGTCGCGCGTCTTTGACACTTGATTGCAAACGTACCCATCTAACCGGCAACGGCACCCAGACCCACCGTGCTGATGCCCGAAAAAACCACAATTTTTGCCCCAGGAATTGCGGCCAATTACGAGACCCCGCTCATCTGCTTCCCCAATGGCCTTAGCTCATATGTTGCCAAGTTTGCTTGGAATTTCTTCAGTGTCTTGGAACGTCCCATATCGGACCAGTCGACAGGTCAATCACAACACCATGATCCGGCAGCCTGGCGACCATACACAGGCCCGCAGGATGAAGGGTCCACCAGAATCCTCTATCGCAATATTGTCAAATTCAAATTGCAAACGCTCGGTTGTTCGCTATTAGCGCTGCTCCACTGATAACCAGCTGTCTGAGCTTCGTATGTTGGGGTGCTTCGATCCGCGTCTGGGACCACCCTAGGATCCACTGTCACCCACTGGCATCCACTTGGACCTGGATGCCAGATAACCTCATGCCACACCACGGCTACGGAGAGTGACGTTCCTCATGGTATTCGTCACCAGCCGCGAATGTCACAACGGTATAACCCGTACTTCGAGCAAAATCAGCCTACTGCGTTCTGACCACAGTGTGCCTTACGCGAGAAGTCTGACCGATTCTCTCGCCGCATAAGCGGCCGTGGTACCCAGTACGACATGCCGCTTGCACCGAGTTGGCGGTTTCTCAAGCAATATCGCCGAGGATGAGGCCTGTATGCGCATTTACACGCCTTTATCACGATGGACCCAGAATTTTGCGCATAATGATCCTGTCGCAACTAACCTGTCCAACGATGCTCATCAATCACACTACTTCTTTTGAAGATGGTTTATCGTACTAACAACTCGGTGCCAGCAGCCTATCGAGTTTGCGCTACAGCCACCAACCATAAACTCGTCCAACGGGATGGCAAGCTTATACGTCATTGATGCACCATAGGTTATCGCTATTCCATCCGTCATGACACCTCCCACAGTCTGATTTGCGCATCGGAAAGAATGACATCTTTTGAGATTCCTAGGTCGATCGTCTTCCAAGTCTGCTGTGGTTCTAACACACGCTTCGCTAGCACGACGACGTTGCGTTGCCACTATCTACCACCATTCTCTACATCCACGCCAATGAACCCTCTAGGTATACGTCATTCGAATCCTGGAAAGTTTACAGTCTACTTTTGACTTCGTATTGAACTGAGAGCTCAGCAACTATCGCCAGTCCGTCGGACCCGAGATACCGTATATTCTACACATCCATATGGCCTAACGCTCATTTTACATAACGCAATAAGCTGTCAGGCAAAGATCAGTCTCGGAAGACTTGGTCTTGAAGCCTAGATATCCCTATACGTCCTCCACCCAGTACTATATTACTCTCCCTATCGACTTGTCGGCCGTCTCTACCACCAACCAGCCGTTTCCACATTCCTCTCATTGTCCACCTATTCCTCTTTCCTTTCTTTTTCTCATCACCTGTATATTCATTCAACTCCTTCTGTCCCGTCAGGAACAACGATTGATAGAACTCTAACCTCATCATTTCCCGCGTTCTCACAATACTAGCCATGCTACCTTTCCTCTCTGCGATATCCCTTACAATGTCGTACACAGAAACCTTTCTCTTCCGTCCAGGGCAAGGAGTTGGTGTCCACGGGAACAGGAAGCTTGGAGTTGGGAGTGGAGAGGTGGTTGGAAGATGAGAAGCTGGTGAGAGAAACGTCGTCCTGGTTGGGATGGGCGTGGGCGTACGGAGAAATGTGAGTGCCGTTGGCGATATCGGACTATCAAACATGGATAGAGGGGACGCGGGTAAAAGAGGTGTTGCCTTTGGGAAAAGGTACTGTTGGTTTGTTGAGAATTCTGGCGGAGCAAGGTACGGATTTGTTGGTGAGCTCGGCGAGACTTGTGAGCGGATAGATGCGAATGGTGACGGTGTGTCTGGATCCCAGTAGGATAAGACTGGAACGGGAGGAGCTTCGTCATCGGAGATGACCAACGCCGACATCAATGGGTAGGTTGCGCGCCGAGGAGTAGGGGGGCGGATGGTGCGCCATAGAGCTGTCGATGCAGTAGGTATGGTGAGTGAGGTTGGTCGAGGGCGGGCTGACGGCATAACCAGTACTTGAGTGTAGGCGGTTGACGGTGGGTAGCTGTAGAGGAACAGTGAAGGTCGAGTTTATTTACTTTCTCCTTGGCCTACTTCAACCATAATGCCACCTTGTTGATATACTTTTCGACAATCCCATGCAGGGTCAGTGTATTGGTTATTGACCAGGGACATACGCATGCTCCATGCTCGGAGACTGAGACTGAGACTGTGGGCGAGCACCCATGATGGAAACCTGAGTGTCTTGCAGGTTTATGGTGTTCTCGTGGTTCGGATTTTACGCCAAGTTCACAAGAAAGCTTCTGCAGCCGTTGACAAGACCCAAGCACAACCCCAAGCCTAGGTCAAGTTTCTCAAGCAGGTTGGGCGAGTATGAGAAATGGAACATGCATGCATTGGACAAGGATGGGCTGTGCGCTCGTAATGTTTCCGTGGCACTGAGACAAGGGTAGATATTGCATGTTAGATGAACGTGCAGTTGCAGACACGACCCATAGGATTGTCCTTGGCAAGGTTCAATAGAGCAAGTACTGAGCAACTAGACGAAGGTCTCGAAACTCCATCGTAGACACAGTGGATACATTCTTTTTCTTTGTCTCGTTGCCAGCTTCCGTATGGCTCCCTTGAAGGTTGTACTACACATCGCTTGCACTCGGTAGAAGTGATGAACATTGGAGATGCAGATCGAGTTGTTCCCATCGAGTCATTATGATGATTAAGAGATGTACAATGTAGATGTTCCACGGAAGATCATCCTGACCCAGAGGGTGGAGAACATGGCTGGACGGATGAGTCAGCAGCATCTGGGCAAGAAGAAGAAATGACGTCTCGCCAACGTTAAGCGCAGGCGCGAAATCCTCCGAATCAGGAGTTGCACTGATTGTTGTTTTTTTTGCAATACACAATCCGCAGAGCAATTTCCATCGACGACTACAGTGCAGGACGCTTCTCCGCAATCGCCAAGGCCCGCAATCTGCAGCTATTGACATCCAAACGGAAAGTTCGCGGAGCAGCCAAAGACCTTTGCGACCTCACCGACGCTGCCCCACCGTCGTCCGAGACACACCCAACATGCTCACACGAAGTGCACTGTGCCCAGCGAGGGCCTTTGCCAACCGCTTCCCGCCTGCGATACTCGCTCCCTCGTCCACGGCCGCAGCATCCTCTTTCTCCACATGCACACGACCAAACAAGCTCCAGCAACAACCGCGCAACAGCCCGACCACCACCCCTCGTACCACATTTCCCAGCAGGCTGATAGTACGACATGCATCGACTGCCCCCGCACAGCCCGTTGCCAACAACTCGCCCAGCGCACAACCCCAACTCACATGGAACGCCTTCTTCGCCCTACGCCGCACGCGCCGGAGAATCGGCCAGGCTTGCTCTGGAGTCGGCGCAGTGGGCGTGACCTATTTTGGTCTCACCACCATGATTAACAATGGCTATGACGCCACGCTCTCAGCCCAACTTGGTGGTTTCGACCCATTCATGCTCATGGGACTGAGTACCTTGGGCATGATGGCTGTCGGATGGCTCATTGGACCTATTTTCGGCAACCAGGTTTTCAATCTGGCTTATAGGGGTGTGCTTGGCGAGTTCACGCGGGTAAGTTGAAATCCCATGGATTTGCATCGAGTTGACATGTCGAATACTGATACTGTTTGGTGTAGAAAGATTCGGCCTTCTTTAACCGTATCAAGCGCCACCGCGTTGATCCCACAGCGTCTTCATTGGCGAATCCACCCCCGGATTACTACGGCGAGAAGATTGGCAGCGTTGCTGGTTACAGACGTTGGTTGAAGGACCAGCGCGCATTCAACCTCAAGACGGGCAGATACCGGGCCACCAAGGCTTTGTAATTCAGTCCAAAGGGCCACGGCGTCTTGCAGACTGCATAGCTCGCATGACACAAGCCAAACATCAAGCTGGAGATTGATCTGGCGTAGCAATGTACGGACCGCATCAAAGAGCACAGGGGAAACAGGAAGGAACACCTCGGCCTCGGGATTACGTGAGCGGCAGATGTCGAAGGTGATTGAGCGAGGAGTAGATACATACTCTTCTGTTTTCATTATATGTCAATATATTTCAGCGATGATTCCATCTTCGCACCTTCTCATCTCAGCCCACTTTGTGTTTTCATTTGTTCCAAAAGAGACATGAGCAGTAAACATACATGTATACATATGTAAAAGTTTCGCTATCCTGATGAATCACATCTCCATCTCACGAATTCACATATCACATAACAGCATATAAAACACCAGATAGGCTGCATCAGAAGTCAAATTTCATCCTCACACGAACATACTACAATCTCGCCCTCCTCCTCACCTCCTCCAACACATCCACAACCCCACCCCTAACCTCTCTAACCACGTCCCCAGCTGGCATAACCTCCTTAACCAACCCCACTCCACTCCCCGCATATGCCGTCATTCTCCCCCCATGCTCTCTCCACCCCTCATCACCCTTGCCCATCTCCTCCTTATACAACCTCGTATTTTCCTCCTGACTCATCCCCTTGTCCACCGCATCCACATAGCTCTGAGTAATAATCCCACGCGCATTGTGTGTCTCAGCCCAATTTGTGCCACGCAGAGAATCGTAGACTTTGGTGCGGACGGTGCTCTGTCCGCCGTCAGTGGTGCGCAGGACGGCGGAACGGTAACCCTGAGTTATATTGGCTTCTGGCGTAGCAAGGAGACGCGTCCCTAGGATACAGCCCGAGGCGCCAAGGGTGAGGGCAGCGGCGAAGGTGCGAGAATCGGATATTCCTCCTGCGGCTAGGAGCACAGGTTTTTGTCGAGTGTGGTCTTCTTTCTGCAAACACGCATCGATGGTGTCGTTGACTTCTGGTAGCAAGGTTACTATACTTGCTCCTTTTACCAGGCCGTGACCTCCTGCATCTGTTCCTTGCACGACGAGCACATCTGGTTGTACTTGTTTTACCGCTTCGACAGCTTCTTGGACACTACCCACTTGTACCCAGATCTTTGTTTCTGGAGATGCAGCTCTGCTTTTTTCTGCCCATTGTACAAGTGAGGCTGTGGAGGAAGGAGCAAAGAACCATACTGCTGCTGGCCGGTGTTGTGCGATGATGGGGATAGCCATTTCGAGATTCGCGCCCCAATTGATGAACCCAATGCCGATGGGCAAGATACCATTTTGCTTCTGCAATGTAGTACTTTTGAGTAGTTCCTTCGCGTGGCCAATATGAGACGCTAGATCCGAGACATCTGTTCCTGCGCCTATGAAACCAATTCCGCCTGTGTGAGTTTGTGAGTATGATAACGGACTAGTTACGTGTACTGGAGCGCGAGAAGAAAGAGAGAGAGGGAAAAAGCTTTGTACATGTATCTAATGTAATTCTCACCGCAAAAAAGAGAGGAAGAACAGCAATGAAATAGTGCTCGTTTCTCATATGACTTACCGGCTTTGGATACTTCAACAGCCATGTCCGCCAAAGCGATTAGTCGCATCGGCGCACCCACCACTAGCGGCGTTTGAATCCATGGGTAATCTTCTTTTAATCTTTGGATGTCGTCCATATCTTCTTCCTCTCTACTTTCAATAGCCTCTACTTTTTTTGAACCCGTGTTTACGTGTACTTCGCTCTGTGTTGCACAAAATTGCGTCTTCCGATAGTGCTGGTAGAATCCCGACTTTGAAACTCTTTTCTTGTGTATTTTACTGTTACCGTAGACAATTTGATAGATCGGTAGGAAGAAGGTAATTATAGGAATGGGTATGTTGTGGTGAGCCCGACAACGCGTGTTTGAGTAATGGTCGAATGATGATGCATGTACCCCAAGTTCCGCTAGACCTACCGGAAGGTTATGACATCTCCTCGGCTATACCAACATGGAACCAAGTCGGCCTTATCCGCAATCAACTTTAACAACATGTTACACCTTTAAACGTATACGATACTATTATGTTATCTTCATTACATCTTTTCTCACATACTCTAAGGTATTAACTAAGTTACTAATCCCAAAGTCTATATCAGTATGAACAGAACCCAATACATCATGCCTGAAAAACCCCAATATCTACATCCGCCAATCATTAAGACCCCTAGTGCGTTATAAGAGGAGAAAAAGAAGAGAAGTCACTACAACTTCTACTGCCTCCTCTCCCATTCGACGATACCAGGAGCCAACGGCCTGGAGAACAAACTCGAGTAGTCGGTGCCAACAATGTCCTTGCTGCCACCCACATTCCTCAGCTTGAACTCGCGCACAAATGCTACGAGAATAGTCTGCAGTTGAAGGTAAGCAAACTGCTCACCGATGCAGCGATGCCTTCCAGCGCCGAAAGGCAGGTAAGGAGAGTTTGTTCCCTTGGAAACGACACCCCAACCATAATCAATCTTTTCTTGATCGGCATCGTCGCGCTCCTCGTCGTATTGTTGGTGCTCGGGGTCCCAGCGGTGCGGGTCCCAGACAGCGGGATTGACAAAGTGGGTATCGAGCAGAGCGGAGAAACCAGGCGAAGACATAAGAGTGTGCGAGGTGGGTACGACATAGTTGGTGCCGTCGACGACGAGGGGTTGCTTGACCTTGCGCATGATTGAGTGGATCGGGGCATGGATACGAAGGGTTTCCTTGACGACTTGAGCGTGGAGAGGTAGCTTCTGGAGGTCTTCGAAAGTAATTTCTGGGAGATCCTCACCAAGAGCAGACTTCTGCTCAGCGAGGAGTTCCTCTACCAGGTGTGAGTTCTGTGCCAAGCGGAGCAGGATCCATGAGATGGTCGATGAGGAAGAGTGTTGACCAGCCATGAGCAGCGCAATCATAATTCCGGCAATCTCGTGCTCAGGAACTGGTGTGCCGTCCTTGTACTTGCAGTCCATCAGATGCCAGATCATGTCGTGTGAGTCCTTCTTGGCCGCACCCGATCTCCTCTTGCGAACGAGTTCAGAGTATAGCTTAATCATCGTCTCTCGTGCGTTGTCGCGTGCGCGATTGTGAGGAAGCGGGGCCCAAGACAACATGAAGTTGACGGGTGAGAAGCCCATGTCGAGGTCGTGGTATAGCTCAGCGAACCTGGAATCGAACGACCTGCGGATCTCCTCGCCCTGGAGCGAACGAGAGGCGGTGTAGATGGTGAGTTCGGCCATGACCTTGGGGACGTTGAATGTACCCTTTTGTCCCTTGAAAGTCTCGTGGCGCTTCATGAAGTCTTCGCATTCTTGTGTGATGAGGGTAACGTAGGAGCGGAGAGCGTCTTGTGTGAGACCGTACTTGACGAACTGTTTTGGCGTTAGCATTTGGCAGTTAAGAGAATGAACAATGCGCACCTTCTTCTGCTCCATGAGCTTTGAGTTGGGGCAGTCATATACAACGTCCTTGCCGAAAACGGGTGTGGTGAGTGGGGAGTAGATCTCCTCGGCATTGACGTCCTTGATCTTTCCATTGAGGATGAAGTTGTTGCCAGTGGTATCCAGGCACACAGTCATCTTGCGACCGAGGAGAATGAAGGTGAAGACATTGCCATACTACTTCCAGTCAGTCATGTTCAACTGTGCAATTGCATCTCCTACACACCTTCTTCTGAGCGGCAAAGAAGAACGCATACGGGTCCATGCCATATGTGACGGTATTGCCAATCACGGGCAGCCAGTGGAAGACCAGAGGCGGCTCGTTGGGGTTCTTGAGCAACAGCTGCTTCAAGACATTGAGAACGATGGCGAGCAGGATAAAGGAGGCGAAGCCGGCGGCGGCGACGACGGGCGTGGACGAGTTGGAGGTAAAGTTGCCCACGGGGCCGGCAACATTGGCGAGGAGACCCATAATGCGCGACAAGAAGCAACAACAGAAGTGAAGGTGTTGTCGAAGGGCAACGTTGACGGGGAACGCGCCTCAATAAATTTCCCACAGGTTGAGGGCGCGCATGGGCCAGGCTATCCAATCATACGAATGAGTCCCCTTTGCCGTACAGGGCGGTATCCGACTGGATCGTCGGTATCGAGGGCTTGGCAGGGACGGCGTGCGGATCTTAGCGCACCCGCTCATAGGAGAGAATGGCACCACTGACAGACCATATGAACCAGATTGCTGTCATCGTACACTGCGTCGTGTCATTGGCCCAAGGGGCACATCACCTCATCCACAACCTAAAGCAGACATGATTATGGTGCAAGATTTACTCTTTACTACGCTATGCTGTGTAAAAAGACCCAGACCGCAGAACGTGTGCTTGCTGTTAACGCATTATTTTACACGTCCGCCTGTACTGCCGTAGAACTCCAGCCAACTAGAACGCCTCGAGTACGCCAGACGCCCCGCCTGAAACATCAAAGAAACACCACATCGTCTCCCAGTGCCATCTTAGCCAACTTGCCCTTTACTCTGTGCAGATGCAAGACTTTGGTCAGTCGCATAGCGGGAACCATCCTCCTCTTCAGAATACAGCGTCTGGTCGCCCTTACCACCCATCTCAACAAACTCCTCGGGGTGTCGCTCATCGGCAGGCCTCACCTCGGCCACGCCATGAGTCCTGCCGTTCATCTTTGTGCCCTTCTCAACTCCATTCTTCTCGTAGACCTTGACTGGATCTTGGCCTTCGGTACCCTTGATGACGCGAGAAACCTTGATGTCGTTGATGCTGCTGAGCATGGTACGCTCTCGTTGCACCTTGCGCTTGGAGAAGTCGAGCTTAGAGATGGCGCCCGTAAGACCATCTGTGCTGTCAGTGACGCTTATCTTGTCTTGCGTAGTCCACGGGTGCTCCAAGCATTGATCAATCGTTATTCGCTGCTCAACATCGACCGTGAGCATGCGGTCGATGAGATCTAGTGCAGGGTCGCCGACAGAGTCCCAGTACGGTGACGGATAATCGAAACGGCCCATCTTGATTTGCTGAGATAGCGTGTATGGATTCTCCGCGCTGTACAGCTCGTCTGAGAATGGCGGAAAGCCACACAGGCAAATGTACAGTACAACTCCTAATGACCAAACATCGACACCCTTGGTGTAACGTCGATGGTTAGAGTTTTCCAGAATCTCAGGTGCGACATCTGAAAAGCATTAGCACACCATCACGCATTGTAGCAAAGCAACATACACGATGGAGTTCCGCATAGTGTAGTCGTAAATGACTCCTCGCCAATGATTTTAGCAAGACCAAAATCGGCCAGCTTGATAGACAGTTCCTTGTCTGTGAGCAGGATGTTCTCGGGCTTGATGTCTCTGTGAACAATATTGCGCTCATGCTAGTAACCGTTAGCAAGGAACCACGCAGAAATTCGAACACTTACCAGGTACTTGACCGCTTGGAACAATTGCACAAACACCTTACGCGCCTCCACCTCAGTCAACTTCTGTTTCATGACGATCCAGTTGAACAGCTCTCCTTCAGTCGCCAACTCGAGAACAAGGTAGACGCCATCATCTTCATCAAAGGTGTCCTTGAGACAGAGCAGTGCCGGGTGGCTGACGCTCATCAACACGGCAATTTCCTGCTGTAGACCCTCGACCTTTGACTTTTCACCTGGACCAGTGCGCTTCTCAAACTTCTTCACGGCATACCGTACACCTGACGACTTTTCCGCGGCAAGGTACACTGAAGCGAAGTGTCCTTTGCCTAATTGTTCCTGCATGGTGTATTGCTGTCGGAATCGGTGGGTATTGCGCTTCAACGGGTATCTGAAGACGTAGCGGGCTTGGTCCAGAATGGCAATTTCGTCGCCTTCGCGCAATTCCCGCCGTTTGTTTCGTCCGACGAAAGTATCATTGACAAATGTGCCGTTGCCAGACAAGTCTTCGACCACGGCAACGGTATCGCCGCCCTTCTTCTCCATGAAGAACACACAGTGACGGTTTGAGACGGTCGGTGAGTTAAGAACTCGATCTGTGGCATCGTCAGGGAAGCGCTCCTACGAACAATTACGTTACCGTGACTTACCGCACTCTCTGTGACGACCGATAAGGTAACCACCGGAGGGAACACCTCGCTCCTGCTTCTCATTCTCGTAGTTTTCCTCCTGGCCTTTGTACTCGTCCTTGCTTACACGCTCCTTACCATCCGTCTTGCCAACGAGTGCGGTAGGAACGGGGCATGCCTCTCGCTTGCGCAAGACTAGGACATCCTCGGCCTGGCCTTCCATAGGCACTAGATAGCCCCAAACCTTTTCGTCCTCCTCATTTTCTACGGCGTACGTCCGGCTCTCGGGTGGGTAGACGAACTGCGAAAAGGGCTGCGTATCGGATGGGGGCGATGAAAGACCACCCTTTGCTTGGCTTGGCTTGCCAGGTGGGGGGCTCTCTGTGCCTTCTTTGTAGCCCTCCGAAGCGTCTCCGGTGGATTCCTTGTGGGTAACGGGCGAAGGCAACGGTCCCTGCTTAAGACGACCATGGGGAGGCGGCGACAAGCGCGAGTGGCGAGTCCTTTTGGGCTCAGCTTCTTCGCCCTGGGAGTACTACAGCAATTGAAGCGTCAGCGCCCATCCTATTCACACATATCGGGCTTGTACAACGGCGACATACGCGATTTCGCTTTAGCTGACTTTTCTCAGTTTGCGCCGGCATCTTGGACAACAACGGCGAGCAGTCGAGTTTCGACGGAGACGGGTCAATGCGGGCGCGTGTATTTCCAGTGTCTAGGTAGGCAGCATAGTGTTGCAAACGATGGAAACGAGTAGTAAGGGCGGAGAGTCTGGGCCGCTAAGCTCGACTGAGATTGAAAGACCGCTCAGCTGCCTCGAGATTGAGACGACCTTCCAGGCAGCCAAGCCCTGGAGCCGGGGAAGTCGCGTCCCACCCCTGCCGATTTGCGCGTGGCGAGACCGCGGCCTTGCTTGAGTGGCTCGGAGCAACCCACCGGCTGACTGTACACAGTTGCTTTGTCGCGAAGCTGTGTACCCATACATTTCACTCCAGTCATCCTATGACATTCCTGTATTCCATATTACTCAGCGTGAAGAAACATCACCGAGGAACATGATATCCGCTTTTCCTCATCTCGACGAAGCTGAGTTTGAGCGCGCCTGCGATGCCATGCAGCGGCGCTTCCAGCTCGAGGGTAGCGTGCAGGAAGGCTGGCTATCCGTGGAGAAGATCCACCGAAATGGGACCGTATATCTCAACATTACCACACATCTGCCGCGCCCTGCAGCATCACCTGCGGTGCATGATCGAGACGCTACTGAACAGGATGAGGTGGTAGAGCATGATGAGGTGGGTTGGTGCCCAAGATCTGCCGACAAGAGCTCAACCCAGGTAGGAGGCCCTTCACGACACTGTAGTACCCCAGGCGGTTGTAAACTACGATGTCGTCTTATCACACGTCTACCGTGTGCCTGTCCTGTATATCAGCATTCGTGACTCTCAACACCGGTATCCGCCGACAATGACTACGTTGTACGAGTATCTAGTCCCGCCGCAGTTCAAGGCCCAGACAGAGAACGTTGGTGTTATTGGAGCCATCACCATCACTGTGAGACGAGTGACCGCATGCATGGTACCAAACTGATCTTCCTAGGACCACCCGGCTACCAACAGACCTGTGTTTTTTATTCATCCGTGTCAGACGGCCGAGGTGATGGAGGCCTCTATTGACAGAAACATTACAGCGGATGAGTATCTGATGGTATGGATAGGAGCCATGGGAAAGGCTGCTGGCTTGCATGTACCTCTACAACTAGCAAGACCAAACGATACTTGACATTGCTACACGTGATTTACATTTCGTGATACAGTATAGTACACCTACAACCGCATCCGCACACTGGCCTTCTCCAGCTCGCCAATGTTCCCCATACCTGCCAAGCTCCACTTCTCCGTCACGAAGCCCTCGTTAACTTGGTGTCGTAACATGCCGCTTTCAGCATAGTACTCCATGATCGATCGGGCCTCTTCCTTGCTCAGCCCGCCGACGTTGATAATATCAAATTCCTTGGAGTCGCTGTGGAGGCCCTTGAGAGCCTCCATGACGCGTACGTCTACGTCCTTGTAGGGATTCCATTGTGGTAGCTTGTCTGCACCCTTTTGACGGGCTTCGGCTGCTTCGATGCAGTGATCCATCGCTGGTGAGGTGGGTGCGTTGGATCGTGATGTTGCGCCGAGCACCACACCGCCATTGGGTAGTTTCCTTTGGCCTGAAAGATGATCTACGAAATGGCGGACAAGAGTCAGGTCGTGGGCGTGAATGGGCTTCACTTCCGCAGACATGTACTCCGAGTGGCGCATGATGTGCGATAGACCGTCGACTGCAAGCAAAATAGGTGGACGACCGGGTAAAGACAGCTCATTCCATAGCGCAACAAAGACGGGCCATGATGCCTCAGGGTTGGCCATGCCAAGTGCAGCCAGCTCTTTCAGTGTAGCACCTGCAGGAAGCGGGAGAGGGAGTTCGGGCTGTGTGCTAAGTTTGGTCGCCGTGAGGAATGCTCCGTTGGACATGAGGATCTGCTGGAGAAGGTTCGCCGTGTATGTATCTTGGGTGTACTGCATCGGATCCGAGTTGGGAAGGGGTGCATAATCTGTGTGAGCGTTGACGATATCTTGGGCTGAAAGCTGTCAGTGCAATCCTTCTGTCCTAAAATCACAATCCGTACCTTCTGGGAGGTTAATCACAAACCAATCCCGCAGAAAACCCATAGTCAGACCCTGAAGCAACAATGTGCTCTTCCCGCTCATTCTTTGTCCAGACAAGATCCGTCGTAATGTCTTCTTGGAGCTCTCTGCCTCTTTGAATAGTCTCGCGAGTTCAATCGCCTCCTTCCTCATCAACACTGCCGGTCGTCTAAACAGACTCCATCCCTGGGTTGTCTTGAATGCCTCGACGGCTCGCAGCGCATCCACTACATTCTCTTGCGGTAGGCCCATGACCTTGCCCTCGTTTTGCTCGCTAAGAACATTGTCCTTGCTGAGGTCCCGGAGCGAGGAAACTTCTAATGCGTTGTCGTTGCTTAGAACGATGCGCTTGCGTTGGGCTTTCCGCTCTCCCTGTGCTGGCCGCTTGCCCGAGTCGCCTGCTGCTGCTCCCCTGCCCTTCTTCGTGTTGAGGGACTTGACACCCTTTTTGGGGCGGCGGTCATGCCCTTCTTCTTAGGTACGACAGCATAGCGGGCGGACGATGTAGAAAAGCAGGCTATCTGTGGGCGTAGCATGCGCGGGGTGACACAACTATGGGCGCCGGCATCGAGCGACAGTTGAGAGAGGCTCCGGAGGCATGTTGAAGGCGGCATGACGGGTAATCGAGGCTCTGACCCTCCGCAATGGGCGAATTGGAGATGCTAGAGACGAATTCTGTGATGGTCAGAGCCTCGGAGGTCCGCCGCTCGTGCACGGACTCGAAATTTATTCTGAACTTTTGGCAGGCGCGCAAAGTGAAATTCTACCAAAACCACTCCAACTACTCAAAATGTCAGACACAGAAATGGACGGCGGTGTCGCGCTAGGTGCAGCTTCGCCCACGCATTCCCAGCTCGTCGACGAAATCAACGGAGGCGCCATGGACGTCAATACCAACGGCGCAGCTTCCGTCGCAGACTCGACCATCTCAAGCCGACTGTACGTCGCATACTTGCTTTGTCCTCTACTTCACCTTTGCTGACTCAACAAAGACCCATCACTGTGAACAAGCCCACGCCTTTTACCTTTGACTTGGGAAACCTGCTCGCAAACGACCCGAACCCAGTCCCTGCCAGCGCCGACGAAGCCACTCTCGCTGCAACTGCCCGCGATGCCGCACAGGCCCTCATCAACCAGCTTCTCTCTACCTGCGAAATCAAGTCAAACTCAGAGGGCGTACACCTCGTACTCCCCGCGCCAACAACACCTCTACCCCGCGAAAAGCCTATTCCTGCAGCCGCAGAGAAGACTAAATGGGAGAAGTTCGCTGCTAAGAAGGGTATCAAGGACAAGAAGCGCGACGGCAAGCTTGTATACGACGAGGCTTCTGGCGAGTGGGTGCCCAAATGGGGTTACAAGGGCAAGAACAAGGAGGGTGAGAATGACTGGCTGGTCGAGGTTGACGAGAAGAAGGAAGCCAAGACAGGTACGGCTCACGACGCGAGGGCGGATAGTCGGAAAGAACGTAAAGAAAGAATCAGGCGCAATGAGAGGAAGGAACGAGCGAACAGCGTCAAGTCTCGAAAGACTGGTGCGTAAGCTCGAGCACTTGACGGTTGCGTCAGTGGGGTGAAGACTTTCAAAACGACTTGCATTGGGCGGCGTTACTATTACGACATGTATTCGATTTCATGGGCGCATCGGTTAAAAGCTTGCGAACATACACTGTTATTGACTGTTCCAGAGGCCCTAGCGTCGTCTCTCAGATACCACAAGTAACCGAGCAGTCCAATTTACCATTTTTGCAATTTCCTCACTCAAAGAACACGGCAAACCTGAGTCAATGGAAAACAACGTCAATTTAAACAACATGTCGTGTAGACGATGTAGCGAGAGAAGAAAAAAAGGTCGATTGCGACCTACCTACACTTCCCCCTTCTATGTTCTACCCAAACCTGGACCCCCTAATATCTCAAAGAGTATATAAGAAATCCGGCCTCTGATCTCCCATCTCCTCAATCTCTTTTTCACTCTTTCCCTCAATCCACACATCCCTTGCTCCTTGTCTCCTCTTCTTATTTTCCCACGCGAGCAGGAACCGCGTCACGATACTGCCACCCAACAGCCACAACGTCAAATACGCCAATACAACACCGTGGCCGAGAAAGTAGCGTGGCTTATCCCTACTGCGGTAGATGTTCGAAGAAACAACGCCGTTGATGTTGCCCCAGCCAATCACACAACCAAGGGTGACGCCGCGCTTGTACACGCCTTCGACATTGTTGGCCGCCCAGGATATCGTGTTTGCTATCGTTGCTAGATGAGGGTGTTAGACTCAAGAAGGAAGTGTGGTTGGAGAGATAAGGGAAGACTCACGATAGATGCCGATTGCTCCCAAGAAAGTACCAGCGTATTGAACGTTGGGATTTCCGGAACCAAGAAGCATAGCAAACCCCACAATACCGAAAAGCGAAACTCCCATGTTGCAGTACCCCCTCTGCTGCGTACGATCGGCGATATAACCGACCAACACTGTCACGACAGCTGCAACCGCATACGGAGGTACAGAAAGCAGATTCGCCGTTGTCGAGGTATAGCCCATGCCAGCAAGAATACTTGGTAAGAAAAGACTGAAGGCGTAAAGAGACCCGTCGGCGCCCATGTAGATGATACTGAACATGAGTGTCTTCCAATCCTTGAGCGATTGCCAAAAGTACTTTATTTGGGAAGTCTTCGTGCGCAGCCGAGGCCTGCTTGTCTGCCCGTAGACGGCGGAGGACGCGAGCTCGGTCGTCAGGAGAAAGGAATGTGGCTTCGGCAGGGAAGTCATGGACCATCCAGTAACTTGCTATTCCTACGAAAATGGTGGCGAGACCTTCGAGGATCTGTAGAGTATTGTCAGCAAACATGTTGGCACAATGAAGAGAGGGGAATATAGGTTACTTACGAAAATCCACGCCCAACCTGGTTTTCCCCCTACACCTCCCATTTGCGCAATGCCAGCTGCTAGCAATCCACCGAAACTACCAGCCAGCGCTGCAGCCGAGAAGAAGATAGCAGCTCGGATGCCGAATTCGGATCGTTTATACCAACAACTCAGATAGTAGTTTACACCTGGGAAAAGCCCTGCTTCAGCGCACCCAAGCCACCAGCGCTACAGATATTTCATCAGCCAACTCAATCGCAAAACCACACCGTTAACGAGAAGGCCCACTTACTGCAGTCATCAAACCGGCATAGTTATGCACTAAACCCATGCACGTCATACAAATTCCCCACCAAATCATAATTAGCGGCAAGAAGATACTTGGTCGTAACTTCTTCAAGAGCACATTCGTCAGTGGCTCAAACACTGAGTAACTGACGAAGAAGATTGTTAGACTGGAGTTGTACTGGCTGTTCGTCATGTTGAGGTCTTCTTGCAGGCCGTCAACTTTGGCGTTACCGATATTTGTGCGGTCCAGGAAGGAGATGAGGTAGAGGAAGGAGAGCCATGGGATTAGTCGGAGGTCGAGTTTGCGGAGAAGGGCTTTGTCCTAGTAGGTATCTTGTTAGCTCTGTTCATAATGGAGGGTTTTAGTTCAATAGGTAGATAACTTACGTGCGCGGCGCGCTCTTCTTCGCTGAGACCAGCGTCGGGATCAGGTAGGTTCTCGATGGTGTGAACATGTTTTGCTACTTCGAGATGCTCTTCACCTATCGTCTTCTCTTCCTCGCTCGACGTGCCCATTGGCCGTTCTATTGCAGAGGCCATGTAGACGGATGTAGCCACACTGTAAGCTAGTAGCTTGTAAAATACCAAGGCTTGTTTAAACCTTGCCGTCAACTCTAGTTGGTAGATTTCGAGAGCGCAAAGAGGCTGAGCGCAGAAACGTTAACAATCGCGGTCCGAAGAAGCACAAGTCAGTGTCTCGACCATGGAACTGGGAAATTGCTTGCCCAAAACTACCCCTCGATCAGCGAGAGACTGTCCCTTAAGAACGTCACGGCCACCCGAACCACTGGAGAGGCGGCTGGGATATCATCATCCCGAGGCTATTGAGCCGCCTATCACCTAGTCCAGTCATGATAATCATATTCCGATGACGGCATTGGCAGTGACTGGTATGCTTTTCTCCAGCATGCAATCCCCACCACACACTTCCTAGCGTTTGCCGATCCCTTGTCTATCAACAATGGGAACTTCTCCCGCGGAGTGTCGGTATTCAGAAGTAGCAGCGAAGTGTCGTTCTCATGGGTATATGGTTATATGATTACATGTCTTTCGAAGATGCCCAACATAACTACCGTGTCGTTGGGACCATTCATTAACGTTGGGACAGAGCTGTGTTGTGACAAAGAGGCTTGTGTCGTTCGTGACCCACTGTTCATACCCCACGCTACTGGTAGTAATTCCAGAAGATACAATACAACACACAGATACCATTTTGAATCTGCCTCCTCCTCCGTATACGACGATTCAGATACAAGTTGTAGATCTCAACGGCGCAGCATCATCGATGCCGAGGATTGGGGCGTTATATGCCGAGCATTCAAGCACGAAGGGCGTTGCAACGTGTGCGGGGATCAAGATGCGGGGACGGCTAAGCTTCCACACAAGCCTGCGCTTGTGACGTTGCTTACTTAGACACTAGCAAGTGCTTATCTGCCAGTAATAACCCTTGTGGGCTTAAGCGATTTTCGAAACTGAGTTGAAATGTTTTGTTCCTTCGGGTGGGAGAAATAATCACACCTTTGGAAAGAGATTCACACAGGGCTCGACGCTCATCCAGTTGTTGCATCTTGCCAACTTCACTACTGCGGCAGTGCCGAAATCGCTAAATGTTTGAGCCTGGTGCCACCAGTGTACATACGTAGTATCCACACAACAGCTCGTGACCGAAAATGTGGATATGCTATGAAATGCTTGTCATCATGTTTTGAGGCACGAGCTCGCATTATCATCCAGCCTGCATATAGTTGCAACTTTAGGAAGCTGCTTTCCGGAAGTCTCTTGATTTGGCGCTGCGGCCTCACCATGGCCATCTTTAGCCTCCATGAACTCGTTTCCTTCTTTCCTCTTAGGTGTTAGACCAAATAAGCCTGATCTCTTTCTCACCATGGCCAAGATGACTGCGACAACTACATTGAGTCCAGTAAAGGCCAACGTGACTTGGAACTGCCTATTGTCTAATACGTACAGACTAGTTAGCATGTCATGTATACCCACATCTGCAAGTAACGGGCACTTACAACTACCACCAAAAACGATACCAACTCGATCTCTCACATCGGCCGGTAATCGCGCAATCGTCGACGTCGAACTTTGCATCCCGCGGATTTCCTCGGGACTCAAGAAATCGGATAGTTTTTTATCCAAGTGCTCGCGATGTATTGCGGAGCAGATAGCGACGGCGACGCAGCCTCCGAGTGTGCGTACCATGTTAAGTGCGCCAGTACCGACAGCAATGTCCTTTTCTTGGATCGAGGTAGCGACGAGCACAAAATATGGAGGACTTGCAAGACCCAAAGCAATACCAGCGATGATCTCGTAACCATATAGTCCTGGCCATAGGCGGGAATACGTTGGTAAACTACCAAGAAGCCCAGTCCCGACACATACAATTGCGGTTGAACAAACCAAAATAATCTCAACTGGTGCCTTCTTCACTGCTAGTCCAGATGCCATGGCGCCAATTGGGGTGACAACGGTCGCCGGAAGCAGTAGGATGCCGGCACGCTCAGCGCTTGTGAAGTTCACTCCTTGGAAGCGTTGAGGGAGCTGGACGAAAACGACGTAAAAGGCGGATCCCAGGAGGAACTGGCTTCTATTCTATCGTCAGCAGATCCTGGTTGGAGGATTCCGAACTCACAACAAAGTCAATGCCATGGGCGTATTTCGAAGAAAATGTATGGGAAAGATGGCAGCTCTTTGCTCCCGAGACGTTATCCAAAACTCATACAAGCCAAAAAGCACCATGAGAGCAATCCCAGCTACCAACGGTCCGATGACAATGCCACTACCCCACGAGTGTGACACTCCGACCTCCTGAAAGGCAAAGATGAGTGGTATATGCCAACAGACCGACAAGATGCCTCCGTAGATATCCAGCTGCTGTATCCGCTGTAGATTCGTTCTACCGTCGTCAAATGCAGGCATCGAGAAGAATAGCATTGCCATTGCGATACCGATGATGGGACCACTACCGCGAGTCAGCTTACGTAGCTTGATGGCTTGCGCTTTGCATACTTCATGAAGAAAATCCATCTCCAACTTGCCCGATCAGCGATGATTCCACCAAGTAAAGGTCCTAGCAGGTTTGCCAAAGCAAATACCGAGCTTATAACACCAGAGTAGAAGCCAATCTTCTCGGGTACAATCATCTTCATGATGCACACGAACGTCAAGCTGTAAAGACCGGATCCTCCAATACCTTGGAAGGCGCGGAAGACGATAAGCTGGGTCATTGTCTGCGCCCCACCGCAAGCCATGGAGAATATCAGGAACACCGACGCGCAAAGCAAGAGCAGGCTCTTGAGGCCCCAGACGTCGCTCAGTTTGGCTGTGATCATCAAGAACGCTATGTTGTCAGCCTTGTGAAATGGAGAAATAGAGGAGTCTCACAGTTATAGGTTAGTAGATACGCGGTAATGAGCCATGTTGCTTGCTCAAGAGCGTCGAAGTCGCTCGAGATCTTGATGAGCGCGGTCGTGACGATGGTGGTGTCCAAAGCTGACAAGAAAAGACAAAGCCATAGTCCAGCAATGATGACATGCAATCGATTCGAGCTGATATTTGGCACGATAGGTACGCTGGAGGTTGTGCTATCGCCTACAATCCGGCTACTCTTATCATCAACCATGTTTTTGTTGAGATTAGGGACAGCTGTCCGTCCTCCGTCTGACTATAAGCTACTAGCCACAGTTGCGGCGTGGTTGCATGTGCGGAGGACCGAACCCCTGCAACAGCTCATACATACGAGGCTCGCATAGACCGGAGTCAGCTGTGACAGGCCACATCTGTCTTCAGTGGGAAGATTGTGAGATGCAGAGGTTAATAGCCGCAGACTCAAAAGCTATTGTGTCGCAGCGAGCCATACTTCAAGAAGCCTGCATCGTTTTGAAAGGTAGGGTGTTGTGTCTTTAGGTCGCCTAGGTACGGTCTCTACGCGTTCAAAGCGCATTCGCTTGGGAAGGAAGCCGTTCTTCCGGCTTATTCTGTCCCTTCGCTGCAATACTTCCAACCAGTCGCCTCTGCATCGCATTTTCATCTCGCGATCTTGTGAGCAACCCGACAGTAATAGCGATTAGAAAAATGAGTGTTATAGTGGTTAGGCTTATGCAGCTGCAGGTCGGTGGGCGTTGGAAAGCCGTGCCGAGCAGAGACGAAAGGTCGAAATCGTCTGGTTATTTTCTTATCCCCTCCTTGGTTGTTCCCAGCGTTCTTCTTTAGTTGCAGCGCTTTCTTTTGATGGAAAGGAGCAAGTCATGATGGTTGGATGATGGTCTTTGTGGTTTCAAACCATGCCACGCGAAACTCGCGCGCGCCTGCAACTGTGACGTCAAACGCCATTGGGACGCGACTTCCATACCAGCCCCTACCGCGCTCTCACTTTCTCAAGTACGCTTTGCTCACATTTTCAACATCAATCACCTCTCGGTCCTGTTCACATGGGGCGAAAGATTCCAGTTTCATTTTTTTTCTACCTCCTCTTATTGTAATGACCTCGATTTCGCTTGAAGCGGCTATCCAGCAGTCCGACGACGACGCGTCCAATTCACACCTCTACAAACTTATCTCTGCACGCGACTTCAGTGGACCGACTCTTCCTTCCGTTGCAGAAAACTATCTCGAGACTTTTTGCAATACCAATTTGTCCGTCGTACGGCGGCGATGGATTGGCATCGCGCTTGCAGGCATGCTGGAAAAGCCAAAGGTGGCTGCACACTTTACAAGGTCACACCTATTACACAACTTGGGTGCCATCGTCTTGAGCGGTACGGAACAAGAGCAGACTAAGATTGTCACTGGAATTATCATACGGCAGGCATTGGAGCAAGGCATCGAATACAGTAGCTTCTGGTCATCGGAGAAGGTCAGACACGGCGCGCCAACTTTTCCGCTCAAAGCCGATGCGAGATGGATGCATAACTTTCAAATCTCTCTCGACGCTCTGAGCGATCTGGCACTCACGAAACCGACTAGTGAGCCATCAATCACGTACTTAGTCTCGCTCCTCGCCTCGGATGAATTCAGATGGCGGGAGTCAACCACCGCTTTCCCTGTTGCCCTTATCGAGGGCGAAGTGATGACCATCATCGCGCCTGACGAGTACCTCAAAGAGTGCCATTTTGTAGAGATACCAATCGAGCACATCTTGAGCACACGTTTAGAGCCATCGACACTGCACGATTCGCAGACACAACATACAGAGCACGAACCGTGGGACCTCATCATGACACTCAAATCAAACCCATGGAGCTACCGTCTGAACTCCGCCCAACGCGTCGCGACTGACATGTCGCTGATGTTCAAACATTCGGAGGACGCGTTAGAGTGGGAGAGTTGCATTAAAGCTCATAAGAAACTGCATACGCACCACCCGAATACGTCTCGTAACTTGCCTGTTGATGCGAGCTCGCCTTCTATCCGATGTTCAAACGTAAGACGGTCGCTCCGAAGTGGCTCCCAGCCGCGTCGAACGGAGCACGCCACTACCAAGAAAAGCAGCGATTCAATTTCTCTGCGATCGCGTGCACGAACTCCTCGAGCTGGTTCGCAGGCACTTCAAGAACTCCAGCCACAGCATCAATCGACAACATCGAAACGCACAACACACACCAAAGGGAAGTTACCTCGTGTATCTCAGGCCGCAAAACACAAGATTTTCAAGAAGCTCAACGCAGAAGCTGATGCGGAATCTAAGGACTTCGACATAGATATAGAAGATGCTCACACAGATGCTTCAGGTACTCCAAGTGTTACTTCATCACCGCGAAAGAAATCGCAGGGCTCAAAGGCTGCCCCAGGCAAGAAAGCAACCGAGAGCAAGTCGAGGGCACGCATATCGCACATCAAACACACGACAGATGACGACGAAGACTTCATACCAACTCAGACAAAGTCAAAGAAGAAGACCAATCCCAAACGTAAAGCAGCACCAGACACTACGGCTGAGAGCAAACCGACAAAGAGGCCTCACATACAGCCGAGTAAAGGTGTGAAGTCGAATGCAACCGGTCCAAAACAGCAGGGTCAAACAAATCCGCTTACGGAGCCACCGAAGTCATTATCGCCCGTCTTGCCATTGCAGCACACCTTGATCGGAGGGCTCCTGGGAAGTCAAAGACCCACAAACGTCTCTGATCTCTCATTCAAGAAGCCAACACTACCAGCAAGAATTGCCCAAACTCCTTCGACCCCTACGAAGCCAAACAAGAAGCTCGTAGAAGCACTATCACGGCCAAAAACCCCCATGGAAGCACGAAGGCGTTTTGATGACGATGCTTTGCAGTACATGGCATCCTCACCACCACCCGTAGCCGACGAATTCGAAGACAGCAACGAATGGCACGAGGTTCTTGTTGAGACCGCAATACTCTCTAGCAACAGCAAGCCTACCCCCGCGTCACCAAATGCGGAATCGACAGCGATTTCTGGCCACGCGGATTGCAACGACGTAGCTTCCGAGAAGAAGACTGGTGACTGGCAGACGGCCAAAAGCGATCCTTTCAGCCGGAGGTCCGCTGGCAAGAAGGCTACATCGTTCATACGCCGTCTGACTGGTGAAGAATCGACGAACGAAGATGCTAGCCTGAACGCTGGCGTTTCAGACCGCATGCCTGTCGCAATCGTAAATTCTAGCACATCAAAAGCCGAAGCTTCAATAGCAGCGAATCAGCCACATCCACAGAAGATGCCTCGGGAAAAGAAGAAGCCATATCTTCCTGAGATTGATGCGAACAACTCGTGCACGCTTCCTAAAAATCCAAGTCCCCGCACATTCACAAAAGACGTCGATGTTATATCGCAACAGATTCCAGATATCAGGAACCGGGCGAAGCGGTCATCTCGTCCGGTGCCAAATACGAAGACGCAGCAAAAACTTGAACTAGTCCTTCAACAAGATAACAGCGATGTAGGCGAGTACACAGAGCATTGCGACATGCCAAATGCGTCCACAACGCTGTCTAAAGAGACGAAAATAACGCCATCACTGCTTCGTAATGAAATTGCCGCAGAAAACGATGTCACTCAACCGATTTTGGTCCCCGACCAGCAAATTGTCGACTTTACTCAGCCAACTATTCGAGCTGGTCAGCAACCCACTGACGTCCTGCGAAACTCGATTGAGGAGACTCAGCAAGCCATGAAATACCCGCAGCAGATCACTGAGAAGAATCAGCAAGTGGTTGATGACCCACCTATCGAGCAGGCACCTAACCAAGACCATACAAATCTTGAAGATGATACTCGTCGGCGATGGCGATGGCGATGGCGATCAGCAGGCTGACAATGAACTCATCGCTTCACCAGTAAACTTTCGCTCCTCCCCGCCACGCCCAGGCTCCTCTAGTAGTCATAGCTCAACGTCCGCTGCGCCCGAGCCATTGACTGATCCACCCCTACCACGCTCGCAAGCTGAAGAGATGGAGTGGGAAGCGAGTCTGCAGCCGCATCAACGCGATCTACATGAACTGATGATACGTACTTCAAAGCGGGTCATGCGACACATCACTGACAACGAGGCTAGTGTGACTGACATTGCGGAGACGTACGCGCAGGATGGCGAGCATGTACTCAACACTCTGCTTCAGCTACACAAAACCGACCATGCGCACGTCTTCCAAGGCATGGAGAGCACAAAGGCAAGTCTTCGGAAAAACCTCGAACGTGCTGCCAAACAAATGGCAAAGGAGAGAAGACAGGTCAACACAATTGCCTGATGTTCATGAAACTCACAACGAATGGTTGCGAAAACGGCGTAACATTCTATAAGGGGTGTATTATGCAAGAAATGTATGATATCATGAAAGTCTATTCACGAGCAGTACGAGAGTAGGACACCATGATAGCATAGTATGACGTTTTAATAGACATGTACTAGTAGTTACCAGAATCACACATTCATACCATGTCTTGCTTTGTACGTGAATCATGAGTGGCTTCCTCCAGTATAAGATGCGCCTTCATGTATAGAACTCTCGCGAGAATTTCGTTGCGAGCTCTGCTCCTTACTCTTCCCTTTCTCTACTATATGCTTCATTGAAATGCCACCCCACGGTAGTCCCGAAAGTGATTGGCTTGTATCGATGTTCTCTGGCTCTGGCGATGCGTATGAGCTTCCAGCCTGTCGTTGGTTCTCCACGTGGCGCTCAGTTTCCTCTTTCTGCTCCTTGATCTTGTCGCCTTGTATGTGTCAGCGGAATTCCGCTGATTGTTATACTTTGTGCTACTTACGGAATCTTCTTTGAGCAAGTTTGTTCTGGATTTTTCGCCTTTCGTTAGGGTCTTTGATGTCGGACCAGTCGTCTGATCTTGCTTCCGGAGACTCGGCAGCGACGGATGAGCCACCCTTGGATGAGGCGGGCTGGTTGGGACTGGATTGCTGACCCTGAGACATGACTCCAGTCTATAGCTCTTGAAGCTGCCCAGGTGGTATCGATGAGGGTTGTGCTTTGGATTATGGCCGACCTGCAGCTTTCTCTTTTTCTCGGAACAGGTACCTGGTGACGAGCCAAGAGATGGAGAGAAAGTTGCTCCTTGTTGAGTAGTAGTAATGTGGTGTAGGCCTGGAAGAATGTCGAATGAGATATGACATCAATCTAGTAGGCGGGTGCATAGCCAGTATTTCTATTGTTATGTGATATTGAGGGATCCATTGATCAGCCGCAAGACGGAGTGTTTGGAGGAGGAGCACGTCGAATGATCCAAGATACTAGCATACTCGAACCAAGCCTTTGGAAGCTGGAGGCCTTGAAGCAGCGGGGTCTGTGAGTGCAATTATGACGGTGATGTAAAGGGAGGATATGCGAAAAGGGCGCGGCTGAACTTTTGAGACGGTACTGCGAAGGATTGCCCATGATACCTAGTGAGAAGTTATACAGGGCTAACCACTCTTGACGCTTACTCTTTTGTATCAGCTCAGCCCATCCGTTATGACATAGCATTCGAGGTTCAGTGACTGTACACAAATACCTGGACCAAGACCCGCAGCGGAACGAAAGCTCAATTGTTCTTAGGCTCACGCATTAGTATGCTATAACAAATACCCTAAGTGACTACCATTGGTGCGTCCGTATACAGTAGAAATGCAATTTCCAAAGGAGGTTAGGGGTCTACTCGACGCAGTACCTGCATGCGTCGCAGCGGGGCCCGGGATGACCGCATCGCTGTAGCCTTGTCGTTGGGCTGAAGTGTCTTAAACGCTCTCTCGGGTCGAGTTGCACCAACAACGCTTAGTCCTTCCAAAGGCAGTAATAGCGTGCAAGCACATCAGCCTCGTGCTCCTGAAGTGTCCTGGTATCAGGCTACCTTCTTGACATCGCATTCCAGCTCTTGGCTAAGAACTCCTTGCGCAGTCCTATTCGCTGAGGGCTTCATTACGACAAGTGGTATAGTGATTATGCTGCACGCTTTTTTTTGGTATGACCCAGCTTGATGTACGACACAAGGACATGGTGGTCAAGGGTGAGCGAGCGCTGCAATGTCCCGAGTCATGTCTGAGTGGGGCATCATGAGAAGAATGACAGAAACACAAGAGCGAAAGCCTCATACTGTCTGCCAGCGATGTCGAAAGCGTGGGGTCGGTATAGAGATGGAGCTAGCAGTGGCGGTCCAGGGCTACTGTGAAATGGAATTGCGGTCGGCTCAACGCTCACTAAGCCTGGTCGGGCGAGCTAGACCCGCATACCTTCACCTCATTTGTCAGATCTTACCAGCCACGCGTGGCTCAAGTATGCGCTGACCGCTCTGCAATCCTGCACTGTCGATATCATGGCCCGTTGCCCTTCCTTGTCGAGGGAGCGAAGTGCAATTATAGATTCAGTTTCGCTTTGCTCGGTGTAGCTCGCGACCTTCCTGATGCTGTCCCCAAGGCCCGGCTCTGCCGCACCTGGATCCGAAACCAACCTGGACCCCAAAAACATCCATGGATGTCGCGTATATTTTCAACACGCGAAGACCCCGGACTTCAAGTCGTAGAAGCCCGCCTCTGACCTGGAAGTGTTTGCGAAACCAACAATGACATTCTTGGTGATGTTTCGCTTTACCTACCGTTATCGCGTAGTCTTGCGAAACGTACGGTATGCTCGCCAGTAGGTAACATGAGCCGCTAAGAGAAAGATCGGATGCCTTAGACCGTCTACTTCTTCGCGCTCGCACTACTAGCTTGCGATACTCTTGTTCTTGACAAATACTGCTCGAAGGATTACGGACCGATTCCACCGCCCTGCAGTCGTCCCCGCAACTTGATAAGAGTGGAGTTTTGGTCGGCCTTATTACAGGGGTCTTTGACGGCTTCTTTGCGAATACGGGACGTTGCAAACGGGTCACGTCCAGCGGCAGCGTACCGCGGATGCTCGGAGCATGTCTGGCACTATGATCAGCAATTCGAGGCTTTCCAGCCGCGATGTGGGGCCTTACGTTTCCAACTTCACAGTGGACTCGAAAGAGCGAATTTTCTACAAACTCCCCAAGACATCGCAATTACATGGCGTCCAGCTCCATCCTTCAGTCATCTGTGGCTGGTGCCAGGGATGGGGCTGGACAGCGTTTACCCACAGCTCGAACAACTTCACGTAAGACGGTATGATCATAGCTGCTCGCTTGGAATGAGGATGAATCTGTGCACTCTCGGCTGTACACAGTTCCGAGATCTGAGCTAAACCCAACACCCGTTTCCACCAGTTGACGGATGCGGAGGTGTGGGACACCACGTATGTTGATGTTGTGGGTTGCTGCACAGTATGCACAATCTTTATGAAAGTCTACGGGTACGGTAGGCGTGCAAAACATTCTATTATACCCGCTCTCAATGAGCACAGTCATCTCAATGGTGGGTCGCGTGATGAGAAATAGCCACCGGGGCCTGGGCAGCTAGCATTTGCTGTCGGATGGAGTACTCACCTTCAACTCATCTATACAGCTTGCATCAGAGTCAGCTATCTACCAGAAACAAATCCACACGTCGAACATCAGAGTAGTAGTGAGTACGTCGAAAATAACCCGTGCTTGCTAACACCGATGTTCTATCTTAACGACTGTGCTTTATATATGCGTGAGCTGGTGACTGATAATTGTGGAGGAACAGTAACTTCAAGCAACTTCAATTACCTCCTGTCTCACAGCTTGGCAGTTTTTTTGTGTTAACCGTGTCTATTCCATCAACACTAGTACAAACCACACGGACTGCAAGACATGCTCAGTACTAAACTGCATAACAGTTGCACCTGGTAGCGGCAAGAATCAACCTACAGCGACTATGATTTGCGAGAGTCTAATGGCTACGAATCTATCATCTTTCAACTCGCAGCTATCTGCTAGGCTGCCGATGACAGTGTCGTCTTTGCAGTGTGGTTAGCGACGCAAACTTTAGTTGAGGCCATATGGTCGCTGAAATACGGTACTGTCAAGTTTAGTAGAGTTATATGGGAAGAAATAAGGTGTTCCTGTAATGTGTTAGCCGCTATTGGAGAGGTAGCCAACTGGTAAGGCGGTCAGTAATACGTTCAGCATAGCGCAGTCATCTTGCCGTCATCTGGGAAATATAATCGTCTTTTTCAGTATAGGTGAGCACCCACAAGGTCTCGTGCTACCCACTATAGTCTACCTTAGGGTCAGACCATGGCCCTCGCAATTCGAGCAATAGAAACACATATCTCGCACAAAAGCGGCTTTGACACGCTATGCATACGACCTAAGGGTATCCAGGCGTCTCACTTGGTACCAACATCATTCCAGTTGTTTCACAATCATCCGGACACATGCACTTGATTTCGTGCCTCAACCACTCCTGGAATACTTGCTGGTCATACTTTTCGTGTAAACTCTCGGTGGAAATGCTTTCGCGAGCTTCTTCCATCTAGTATCGTTGAAGTCTGCCACCATATCATCGTATTGAAAGATACGTGTGATGTGGACTGGACCGTGGTAGCTGAGTTGGAAGAGTATATGGCTCTCGATACATGCGATACATACGCCGCCATCGCCGTCTTGTCCAGGAACGAGGTGGGACTGGTATTTGAATAGGATTGGCGTTGAGGTTTCCTACGATTCTGAATCGAGTTGGACATACTGTGTTATGGGCTTATCATCAGCACACACATCGCAGGTGAAAAATGGGGTTTGTTGTGGACGTGGTAATTGTGTCATTTATATCATCGTCTTTGCTACAGACCATCGAACAGAAACACTATGTGTTGCGGTTACGGCTGTCAAGGATCGTAGCATGAATGGGAGAATGGGCGATCTGGTCAACTCAATTGTAATAAGTAGCTTGACGGAAGATTGACATGCCGACGTGTTATTCCGCTACTGTTTGTAACATCAGTTTGGGAATGGCAAACTGTAAGACAATCAATTACAGTCTGCAGCGTAGCAATCTTGCTTGGTTTAGCTTAATTGATTCACTGGTGTATCAAGCAACGAAGGCCCGTTTCATAACGAAGAACGACGAAGCTACAAACCTAGCAATGAAAGACTTGGGAAGTTATTGGGTTCATTTCATGAGACAGTACGCTGGGGATGATTCTAACCATCTCGACTATCTCAGTACTTGCTAATATTCAAGGCTTGAGGTCTCCTCTGCATGCGAGCTTCAGTCTGATCATTTCGACTGCTTTGATACTCACCTTGACGTACCCCTTGCGCTATGAGCTTGGAACGTACGAAGCGAGTTGTACGAAGGAGAAGAAAATCGACGGTTCCGTAAGAAGGTATGGTCGTT